CAGTGACCCTCTACTCTTAGCGTACCACTCGCGAAGCTGCTGGGGCGAAAGGGTCTCGCGCGGACGACGCTGCAGCTGCACCTGGCCACTACAAGAAGCTCCCGAACTACTCACTCCAGGATGACTCCCACTAAGGCCGCCCCGATAACCCCAACTAGCGTACCACTCACGAAGCTGCTGGGGCGGGAGGGACTCACGCGGACGTCGCTGGAGCTGCAGCTAGCCACCGCCAGGAAGTATTAGCCGCAGTAGCAGCAGTAGCAGCAGTAGCAGTAGTAGCCGCAGTAGTAGCAGTAGCAGCAGTAGCAGTAGTAGCAGTGCGGCCACCCCTACATCCCCAACTAGCGTACCACTCACGAAGCTGTTGGGGCGTGAGGGACTCACGCGGACGGCGCTGGAGCTGCATCTGGCCACGCCAGGAGCAGCAGTAGCAGTAGAAAGAGCAGTAGCAGCAGGAGCAGCAGTAACAGCAGTACGGGCAGGGCAGTGCTCACCAGTGGCGAGAAGGGCAGGCGTACGCCGGCGGCAATGGCGAGGCCGCTACCACTGCAGGGCGAGGGCTTTGCGGCAGCTGCAGGGGCGGCTGCTCCAGGGGCCAGGGGCGGCTGCTGCAGGGGCGGCTACTCCAGGGGCCAGGGGCGGCTGTCCTAGGGGCCAGAAGCGGCTGCTGCAGGGGCGGCTGCCCCAGGGGCCAGAAGTGGCTGCTGCAGGGGCGGCTGCTCCAGTGGCCAGGGGCGGCTGCTCCAGGGGCCAGTGGCGGCTGCTGCAGGGGCGGCTGCTCCAGGGGCCAGGGGCTGCTCCAGGGGCCAGGGGCGGCTGCTGCAGGGGCGGGGGCAGGGGCGGCCGTCCGAAGGCCAGGCGCGGGTTAGGGCAGGGCGCCGCGGCGGGCAGGGGCGACGCCGCGCGGGTCCCGTAGGGGCGTCGCGACGAGCGGGGGCGACGCCCGGGTCCCGTTGGGGCGTCGCGACGCGCAGGAGCCGCGCCTCGCGGGTCCCGCAGGGGCGTCGCGACGAGGCGGGGGTGATGCGCGGGTCCCGCTGAGGCGTCGCGACGAGGCAGGGGCGACACCCGGGTGGCGACGGGGCGGGGCCGCGACTGGCGACGGGGCGGGGCCGCTACGGGCAACGGGGCGGGGCCGCGAAGGGGCCGCTACGGGGCCACGAAGGGGGGCCGCTAAGGGGCCGCGAAGGGGCCGCTAAGGGGCAGCAAAGGGGCTGCGAAGGGGCCGCTAAGGGGCCGCGAAGGGGGCCGCTAAGGGGCCGCGAAGGGGCCGCAAAGGGGGGCCGCGACGGGCCTCGGGAGCAGGGCAGGCCGCTAAGGGGCCGCGAAAGGGTAGGGCAGGTCAGAGCGCGAAGCGCACTTCGGGCAGGGTAGGAAAAAAAAAAAAATTAGATGGTGGGCCCTTAGGAAGAAACGGTCCCACTAGGGAACCCGCTCTATACCATGTGAAGAAAGAGGAATGACTGAACTAGCAAGGTGATGTGTACAAGTGAGAAAGCCTAGCAGTGTTGTACCCCATATAGTCTACCCCACTACAGCCTACACAGACTATGTCATATATGTTTGACAAAACAATCATAATCGCTAAACGCAACGCCGACCGTCACTATCGCCCCGTTACTTTCCAATCCGACGACCTGGTTTTGCTCGACACTCAGAACCTCCGCTTACCCATCACTGTAAAATTACGCCCGAGATATTGCGAGCCGTTTCGCATCAGCCACATGATCAACCCGGTAATATCACACCTCCTCCTCCCCGCTGACTGGTACGTCAGCCCATCTTTCCGCATCAGCCTCCTCTGCCCATACGTCTCGTGAGAAAGTCAACTGCCACATAGCCGACCTTCCAACATGACCCGACTGCCCACCGAACCAATCATTGCGCCCGCACATATACAAAGTGATTTAGAATACGATCCACGTGGGGCCCAATGCATCGATTTTCTGATTTGGTGGAAAGACGAAACTCCAACAGAAGACAGCTTGATTCCTTTTGACAAAACTAGAAACCACCCCGTCCTCATCGAGTATCCGCAATACCTAAGCACTTTTGATAAGGGCCTCCTTTGGGGAGGGGGGTAGTGTAAGGAAATAAATCTTTCCTTACTCCATCATGCATCTCTTAGAATCTAACTTAGTAGAGGTAGATGAAGAATGGTGATTAGGGTAAAGCGACGGTGCACTTTTGGCTTTGGAACAGTGCTGACGTCAGCCATGCGCGAAATGGGTTCAGTGGTGCGAGGCAAAACGGAAAGAAAGCGCTGTGACGAAACAAAGCGAAATGAGTGCGAGAGGCCCGGGGGAAAGGACTGCGCATTGGCGCAAACGACCTTGCAGACGAGAGGGCGAGAAAGGGACGACAAGGGGGGGGGGGGAGAAACTCGACCTCCGCAAGAGAACAAACCACGGCAACAAATTCTCCTCGACAGCACCACACTCGAAACAGGACACCTGCCAATAAAGGCCTACACTAGAGCCTAATTAGAGCCTAAGGGCGCGTAACCATTTTGCACCCGACGGTTCGAACCGTGGACCATCTGGGTAGCGAAATGGTAACAAACTTCGCACAATGTCGTAAATATGTTCGCTAAGGTGTTGGCGACATTGCCAACAAAATGGACTGTAGTGACACTTTTTCCCACTTTCAACGGTCCGAAATCTGAACCGTGGACAGTCCGAATCCCAAACGGACTGTCCGACAGTCCTTGCACACGATTGGAGGGCGACGCAAAAATTGTCGAGTCACCTCGTCCACCAACAAAAACGTACGAGGCTACTTCACGAATCAACATTGACCAACCAGAGACAACCCGTAAACAAAAATGATTCGATAACGACATCTGCGAGCTTGAGACAATTGCGTAACGCTTGTACAGTGATCGCGAAACTGTATATTAGGAAAAAAGTGTCACAACTGTCTTCGGACAGTCCGAAGTTGCAAAAAAAGTCAGTCGGACGGTCCCGTTCTCGATAAGTGGACCGTCCACTTCGTTTTAAGCGGACTGTCCGTCAAAATCGTAAAATGCAAAATGGTTACGCGCCCTAATGGGATGATCGGCTCGCACACCTGCTAACGGGGCTTCTTCATAGAGCATCGCACACCGCTCATTATACGACTAAAGACTGTGACGACGCTCATAACCGGTGAATAAAGATGTGGAATAAATATAGGTCAGTAGGCATTTTAGAGAGCAGTTGGGAAAACCTCGTCACGACAATAGCGAGGGCGGACCGTGTCGCATTTCACGATGCGCCAACGAAGTACCCCATAACGTCTGGATTTGAGTGCACGAGGACGCTAACTCGGTTCTGTCGCGCACCCCGCACAAAGCCTCAATCGTCGAGCCGCATGCTGCCCACGTTTGCGAAATTCGAGTTTCTTACTAGTAGTATACCGTCCCCTCCCACATAGCATTGCCTTCCCTCGCATTTCGTGTCTGACAGTTGAACCATGTAATACGGGCGGAAATTCGGCCCGCGCGTACTAGAAACTTTCCCAAAAAAAAAAACATCTGGACAGTGTTTCAGCACGATATACCATACTACTTCGACATATCTAGTAGCCGTCTCTCGCGACATTACATGAAGCCCTGGCATAACATTTCGTTTCCTGCGCACAGAGCAATACCGCAGCCACGCATAACATTCTGCATAACACATCCTGTTTCCCCCTCAAAGCATCCATTTTCTCCCCATTAGCACCGCAATTCCTGTCATACCATCCCTATTCCCCCCGTTGAGCATCTCGATTCCTCATCTTAGCATCCTGATTCGCCCATAGAGCATCCCGTTTCCACCTCATACCATCCCGTCTCTCCCTCCTACCATCCCGTTGCTCCCTCCTACCATCCCGTTTCTCCCTCCTACCATCCCGTTTCTCCCTCATACCACCTCGTTTCCCCCCCGCACTATCCCGTTTCCCCCCCACACTATCCCGTGGAACCTCTCATACCGTCCTGTTTCCCCACATAGCACCGCGTTTCCCCCTCATATCATCCCGTTTTCCCTCATCCCATCCCGTTTCTCCCTCATACCATCCCGTTTCTCCCTCATACCATCCCGTTTCCCTCTCATATCATCTCGTTTTCCCTCACGCCTGTCCTTCTTTCTCCCTAGTGCCTACATTCCATCCCCCCCACTGCAATCTTCCTCCCCCCCACTTGCAGTCTTCCTTCCCCCCCATTTCCGGCCTTTAATTCCCCCCACTTCAGGCCCTTCATTCCCCACTTGCTTGGCCTTCTTTCCCTCCACTGAAGGTTCTCCTTCCCCCCAATGCTTGTCCTCCTTTCCCCCCACTTCAGGGCTTCGGACCTCCAAAACGTGCCCTCATTTCCCCCTTCAACCTGCCTTCCATTCCCCCCACTGCAGGGCTTCTTCTCCCCACTGCGTGCCCTCATTTCCCCCTTCAACCTGCCTTCCATTCCCCCCAATGCAGGGCTTCTACTCCCCACTGCGTGCCCTCATTTCCCCCTTCAACCTGCCTTCCATTCCCCCCACTGCAGGGCTTCTACTCCTCACTGCGTGCCCTCATTTCCCCCTTCAACCTGCCTTCCATTCCCCCCACTGCAGGGCTTCTACTCCCCACTGCGTGCCCTCATTTCCCCCTTCAACCTGCCTTCCATTCCCCCCACTGCAGGGCTTCTTCTCCCCACTGCGTGCCCTCATTTCCCCCTTCAACCTGCCTTCCAATCCCCCCACTGCAGGGCTTCTACTCCCCACTACGTGCCCTCATTTCCCCCTTCAACCTGCCTTCCAATCCCCCCACTGCAGGGCTTCTTCTCCCCACTGCGTGCCCTCATTTCCCCCTTTAACCTGCCTTCCAATCCCCCCACTGCAGGGCTTCTACTCCCCACTGCGTGCCCTCATTTCCCCCTTCAACCTGCCTTCCATTCCCCCCACTGCAGGGCTTCTTCTCCCCACTGCGTGCCCTCATTTCCCCCTTCAACCTGCCTTCCATTCCCCCCACATGCGCTCCGTGAAGCCCTGCACCGCTACCAGCCAGTTCACCTCCGCGTGCACCAAACCTGAGTTCAAGTATCGCCAGAACCATGGCATAGGATCCCATCCTCTTTTTCCCGACGCTGCACTACAGTTCATTCTACCTCCCACTTCTTGTCCTCCTTTCCTTCCCTGGCTATCATTCCTTCCCCACCTTCTTGCTTCCCGGTTCCCCCTTGCCTGCGGTACTTTCCCAATTCATTGTTTCCCATCCCTTCCTCTTGCTCACCCATTTCTCTGCCAGCATGCTCGATCTTCCTCCGACCCCCCACTCTTTCCAGCCCTTCCCAGCAAACCCCTCCCCCCAGCAAACTCATCCATCCTCCCTTGCACTACATCCGTTCCCCTCCCACCACCAGTCACCATGGCTCGTGTCCGAAAGAAAAAAACAGCAGAGTCGTGGAGGAGCAAAGTGCTTGACCTTGTTGGGAGTAAGGAGAAAGGAATTTTGGCGATAGCTAATAAAATGCAGATCCCCATATGCTACCTCCGTTGTGGATTGAGATCCCTAATGGGAGAAGGGAGAGTCGCCACTGTCGCGGATTTGGTGTACTTCCTCCTACATGCGGGACCTGGAGCGAAGGATGCGCTCATGTCAGCAACCAAGCGGGCCGGTGAGTGAATACACAAATATGCTGTGAGAAGAGAGATCGTAGGAGCCAGCGACTTATATTTTAAATGGACGACACACGTGGAGAATATAATTTACGTGCCCCTATCCGTGCAGGGGTGGACGGGGACGAGGCCGAGCCAACGGTGCAGTTGCTGATGGGGGATTTCGGGAGCAAGTTTCAAGGAGGAAAGGATCGATCTATTGGGCGACCTGATATCATTGTGAAAGGGCAGGGGCGTGCAATCGGGGGTCTAACGTACAATTTCCCAAAGATTGAGGAAAAGAATGGGAGTGCGCGGAAAGAGGGAGCAATATTTGACCAAGGAGGAGCTCGACGTGGGATCGCTTACACCAACCTTCTACGAAAAGGTGCATGTGATAAAATGTGTCTACCAAAACAATCAACCATCTGTATCCCCGTTCATCCCATTTCGTTCGTTTCCATAACCTCCGTCATCTGCCCTGCCCTCTTCTACTCTGATTTCGTTACTCTTGTCTTACTTTCCTTATTCTTCCACCCCTCTCGCCTCACTGTTTCCCCACTTTAACCCCACAATTCCTCATATACCCCCTCCACCCCCTCTCGCCTCCCTCCCCTCTCTCTCTTTCCCCTCATATCCCCTTGTTCCCCCCCTCTCTTTTTTCTTTTCTCCCTCCACTATTCATTCATCTACTTCCCTGCTCTACCCCCTCGCTGATTTCCATATTCTCACCCTTCTTTAGCATCAGCTCGACGGAGCATGCACTGTGAACAGTCTACACCTCATGTTGTCGAACAGATGGAAGATGGCGTTCTCAGGCCCCACGTTGAAACTACCATGGATGAAGGAGGGGAGGAGTGTCCTGGTGAAGCCCATGTGTCAATAGAGATTGATGAGGCATGCAACGACGGACAAGAGACACCGTGTACAGCCGAGGAAGGATGCATGGACGACATCGAGGCGAACAATATAGGGTATGTATCATTTGAACTAGGGGATGCAACATAATCGTGATGTACGGTGAATAATATCATGTGGCTAATAACTGACGTGTAGGCGTACGATGAAACCACCCCATTACACCCATGACCGCTTTCCTTCCCCCCTTCCTCTTTACCTGCCCTGCATCTACACACCAGAGATCCGCAGGTTTATCGTACCCCGACCGGGGGATCCCCAAGGAGATGGCCATCCAAGCCGACATTAGACGGGTTGCGACAAGTCGTGTGTCTACTGGACCCCATCCACGTCATCAGGTTCTTCCAGACCATCTCGATTATGTGCACACTGGGGCGAGGTTGTGGGGGTATGATGCAGTTACGGTCATGGAACCTGATGCGGGCGGCGTTAGGAGTGGTTTGGACTTGTGACCGGTGCCATGGTTCCTTACCATTATGGTCGATAAACTGTCAGGTATCACCTGGTGAAGCAAGCAAGCCTGGTCGAAAACGTATGACATTGATGCAGAGGTTCCTTGCCTCTTTTGCACTTGCTGGCTTAGGCTACCAAGTGTTATCGGAGGTGGGGCGGAACCTTGGCGTGCCAGTCCCTTGTAAGACGACTTTCTATAAGTACATGAGTGGTTCGGGTGGCTTATGGGAGAAGATAGTAACGCATGCGGAAAGGTGTATGGCAAAGGTACGAGAAGTGATGATGGCCCAGAATAGACGGGATATTTGGTTATGTGTCGATGGAAGGTGGGGACAGCCACGCGAAGCTGAGTGGTGCAGTGTCGCGTTCATGGATGCCAGAACCAGGAAAATAATACATTGCGTCACCTTGCCAAAAACACCGGATGATCTGGCCTCCAATCAGTTAGAGGGGGCTGCTTTTAGGACAGGGTTGCAAGACCTTCAGAAATGGGGGTTTCCAATAAAGGGCATAATTTCGGACAAGGGGGTGTCGCTTGGGATCCTCGGCTCTAGTATAGAGCATCAACGTGATGTGTGGCATAAAGGTCGGTCGCTATCACGCATGTTTCATAAAAAAATCATGGGGAAAAAAAAGGTAGAACACCCATCAGATGCGAACACCATCCAAGATCTATGGAACATCAAGGCGGATGATCTCAAAACATGGTTGCGAGAGCGGCTAGGGCTCAAGTTGCTAGGAGTCCCTAAAAAACCGACAAGGAAGGACTTAATCAAGGAAGTCTGTAAGCTGAAGAATATAAGTTTTGTGGATTTGGCGGATGTTAGCACGCAATACGAGTTCCCCGAGATGCATCGCGTTGTACAGGTGCGACGCCAGAGAGATGGTGAGGAGGCGAACAGGGGGGATAGAGCATCACGAGGCCTGGAGGGGCTAGTGGTAGGGGTGCAGGATGGTGTGGTGAGCATGGTAGAGGTACTAGTTACTGAGGGTCGAGGCCCTACTGGCAGTGGGTGCGCCAGTGGTTCTCCAGACAGTGGGGTTTACGGAGGATCGTTTGCCATTGACATATTGGAGGGGAATATGATGGAGCCAAGCGCGGACGATGATGGGTTAGATTTCCGATTTTCTGACGTAGCTGAAGTGTGGGGATACGATCCACATCCAGAGCATGGCGTGCAACCATGCACGGTGCAGTCGTTCATGATCTTACAGGCTTCAGCTTCATCACACAGTGCGGCCGCGCGAGATGACACAACCTTACCATCCGCATCGAAGAACACATGTTCGGGTTCAGGTAATGCAAAGCGGGTGATCAAGTTGTTGTGATTGTCTTATTCTACATGATGTCACGTGGCCATTATCTTTGTCAGCTTCCATCCTAATTGACCTCCCCAACGTATGTTGATTTTGTGCATATTATCTTCATCTATCAACATCCACCATGATGATGCAGGGGCTGGTGGTGGACCAAGTTCATCCAGTACACTCCCACGTTGGGTGGAAAAGGGAACTCAGGGCAGGAAACGAGGAGTGGAGTCACGTGATGCAGAGGTGGTGGAGGAGTGCGAGGGCGTGATCAGGGAGGTGACAGTAGCGCAGCGTTTTAGCATCCACTTTCATCATGTGATGGCTCGCTATGCTGCGCTATTCAAGGAAGGGCGATCAATGACGCCAAAGGAGGTCGCAGACGAGATTGGACTTGCTGCTGATCATTGGGCTAGTGACCAGTCACGTTGTGCCTGCCAGGGATCTCCCCTTCCTAGATGTGTCAGGGACGGCTGGGGATTAGAGAGTGCAGTGTACGAGCGAGGCTCGGATACTCACATAGCGTTCAAAACTTGGTTGGAGGAAAACTGTGGCCCCGAAGAGATGGCAGAATATGTCCATGGAGCTGGCAATTGGATGAATGAGTCCTTTCATTCATTAATTTGCAAGTATGCACCCAAACGCATACTATTCCATGGAAGCATGAAAGCGCGTGTGGGGCTCGCAATCATGCATTGGAACAACTCACTGGAGAGGGAGGTGCGTGCAACAAAAATAAGGATCCGGCGAGCAACATGAGTGCGTCGTGGGAAGACCAGCCGTGTTTTGGGGCCCATGAACTGGGGCTGGGTTGATGACATCATGAAGGATTGGGAGTGCATGACAGGTGACGGCATGGATGAGGATCTTGAAGGTGACACGCACGTTTCAGCTCCACACACTCCTCAACCACCGCCAAAGCGGAGGCGAACCATGTCCAGCCAGCCAACGATAATTTGCCGCCCTGTATTTGGTACGTCCCATTTGAATAAACATGCTTCGTTTATTGATTTCTTGTTGATATAAAGATTAACACTACCATACCCCTAACTCCTTCGTTGCGTTCTGCCCCTTGTTCTAAACAGGTGATCTCAGCAATGTCGCATGAGCATATTGGTGCCACGCACCCCCAGGCTCCGCACCCCCAGTCTCAGTACCCCAAGTCTCAGCACTCCCAGGCTCAGCACCCCCAGAGTCGGCACCCCCAAGCTCAGCACCCCCAGACCCCGCACCCGTAGGCTCAGCACCCCCAGACCCCGCACCCGCAGGCTCAGCACCCCCAGACCCCGCACCCGCAGGCTCAGCACCCCTAGCAGCACCAGAGTCAACAGCTACCTCGACAGGCTCGACTGCATCTACCTGGGACACACCTGAGGGGGCAGGACCCTGAGGGGGAAGGGGGTCTACCGGGGGGGGACCTGGCGCGAGGAAGAGCGGCGGCGGGGGGAGGGAGGCAGTGCGGTAGGGGAAGAGACGGTAGTACGGAACCGACTCGTCAAACGTGACGTCCTGGGAGGACAGAACACGTCGCGAGGTGGGGTGGTAGAACTGCCAACCTGGCGCGTCAGGGGGGAAGCCAAGGAAGACACAGGGAACAGCACGGGGGGACAGCTTGTCCGCAGACAAGTCGCGGACAAACGCCCGAGATCCCCAGACACGGAACGCAGACACATCGCCAACCTTCCCGGTCCACCGCAAAGCAGGGGAGGTCTCCGGCATGGAGACCCGGGGCTGAAGGTTGATCTGATGCGCCGCGTACCGAACCGCAAACGGCCACAGAAAATGGGGGGCAGCCGCATGGACCATGGACGTACGAGCGACGTCCATGACCATGCCAATGCGGCGCTCAGCAATCCCATTTTGCTGTGGAGAGGCCGGAAGCGTGAACATCTGGCGGATGCCCTGTGCACAACAAAAGGCTCGCAGAAGGTCAGAGGAAAACTCACCGCCTCTGTCGGAGTGCAGACGCAGAACAGGAAAGTCCGAGCCGAAACTCTCTCTGAGCTGGAGACGAGCAGCGCGGATCCAGCCGATCAACACCTCAGTGACCTCACCCTTGCTGCGCAAGGGGAAGACTGTGGTGTAACGGGAGTAGTCGTCAACCACCAGCAGGAAGTAACGCTCGTGACCCTGTCCACGGACGCGGGCTGGGCCCCACACGTCCATGTGAAGCGTCTGCAGCGGAGCCTCTGTCGGAGGAAACTCGGAGGAGTGAGGAGCAGCACGCTGCCTCCCCTCGACGCAGGTAACGCAGGTAGGGGCAGGCCCCGGAGGAAGAGGAGGGAGGGACCAGGGGAGACCAGAGACAAGGACACGGGAGGCCATGCCTCGGAGACGCGGCAGCGAGGGGTGACCAAGGCGGTGGTGCCAGAGGAGAGTCTGGTGAGACAGGAGACGACACGAGCAGGGGGCAGACGCAGGACCAGACCTGGACGCCGTAGCAGACACCTGACCCGACACAGCTACCTGACCAGACGCAGAGACCGGAGGAGACTCAGTAGTCAGTGTGTACAGGCTCGACCCCGGTCGACGGGTAAACGTGGCCAAGTGTCGGCCCGTCCGAGCACACGTGCAGTGGGTCACTCGCTGACTCGCAGGAGTGAACTGGTCAACCCCCCCATCCTGTAGGTCAGCACCACTCACCAAGTTCGTAGAGAACGAGGGGAGGTAGAGACCTGACAGGGTGCCAGAAGGGGCCGCCGGACACGGTAAGACAGTGGAGAAGTGGGCAAGGACAGGACCCCCAGAGGGGTCTGCCAGGGAGACCGCAACTGGCCGACTAAGCGGCGTGAGTGTGCTGCGGTCTCGAAAGAAGGAACGGGAAGCACCCGAGTCAAGGGTGAAGGTGTGGGAGGCCTGAGCCGACGTGGTACCTGAGAGAGCAGACTCACCAGCACCTGGGGCAGCAGACTCACTAGCACCTAGAGCAGCAGCCTCACCAGCACCTAGAGCAGCAGCCTCACCAGCACCTAGAGCAGCAGTCTCAATGCCCGGGTCAGGCGGAACACACAGGTAACAGTCACCCTCATCACTAGTAGGCAATGCATACATGGCAGTGAGGATAGCATCATATTCAAGAGTATAGATATCTACCCTCAGCCTAAGCAGCTCCACCCAGTCGGGGAGCTCAGCCGCGTCGCCAAACTCCGTACGCCAGGCGTCGCTCAGACGGGCGAAGCAGCGCGACTCTGCGTGACCAAACGTCCCGCAAGGCTGACCAGTCTGAGCACCAGTGCGAATGACGTACGGACAGCGAGCAGTACCCCGTGACCCGTCACGCTGAGCGTACCACTCACAAAGCTGCTGGGGTGAAAGGACCACGCACGGACGACGCTGCAGCTGCACCTGGCCACTACAAGCAGCTGCCGAACTACTCACTCCAGGACGACTCCCACTACGGCCACCCCGACAACCCCAAGTAGCGTACCACTCACGAAGCTGCTGGGGCGTGAGGGACTCACGCGGACGTCGCTGGAGCTGCATCTGGCCACCGCCAGGAGCAGCAGGAGCAGTGGTAGCCGCAGTAGTAGCAGCAGTAGCAATAGCAGTAGTCGCAGCGCGGCCACGCCTACAACCCCAACTAACGTACCACTCACGAAGCTGTTGGGGGGGCGAGGGACTCACGCGGACGGCGCTGGAGCTGCATCTGGCCACGCCACGAGTAGCAGTAGCAGTAGAAAGAGCAGTAGCAGCAAGAGCAGCAGTAACAGCAGTACGGGCAGGGCAGTGCTCACCAGTGGCAAGAAGGGCAGGCGTACGACGGCGGCAATGGCGAGGCCGCGACCACTGTAGGGCGAGGGCTCCGCGGCAGCTGTAGGGACAGCTGCTCCAGGGGCGGCTGCTGCAGGGGCGGCTGCTGCAGGGGCTGCTGCTCCAGGGGCGGCTGCTCCAGGGGCGGCTGCTGCAGTGGCGGCTGCTCCAAGGGCGGCTGCTGCAGGGGCGGCTGCTCCAGGGACGGCTGCTGCAGTGGCGGCTGCTCCAGGGGCGGCTGCTGCAGGGGCGGCTGCTCCAGGGGCGGCTGCTGCAGGGGTGGCTGCTCCAGGGGCGGCTGCTGCAGTGGCGGCCGCTCCAGGGGCGGCTGCTTCAGGGGCGGCTGCTCCAGGGGCGGCTGCTGCAGGGGCGGCTGCTCCAGGGGCGGCTGCTGCAGGGGTGGCTGCTCCAGGGGCGGCTGCTGCAGGGGCGGCTGCTCCAGGGGCGGCTGCTGCAGGGGTGGCTGCTCCAGGGGCGGCTGCTACAGTGGCGGCTGCTCCAGGGGCGGCTGCTGCAGGGGCGGCTGCTCCAGGGGCGGCTGCCTCAGTGGCGGGTGCTCCAGGGCGCGGGTTAGGGCAGGGGGCCGCGGCGGGCAGGGGTGACGCCACGCGGGTCCCGCAGGGGCGTCGCGGCACGCAGGAGCCGCGCCTCGCGGGTCCCGCAGGGGCGTCGCGACGAGGCGGGGGCGACGCGTGGGTCCCGTTGAGGCGTCGCGACGAGGCAGCGGCAACGGGGCGGGGCCGCGACTGGTGACGGGGCGGGGCCGCGACTGGCGACGGGGCGTGGCCGCGACTGGCGACGGGGCGGGGCCGCGACTGGCGAAGGGGCGGGGCCGCGACTGGCGACAGGGCGGGGCCGCTACGGGCAGCGGGGCGGGGCCGCGAAAGGGCCGCGAAGGGAGCCGCGAGGGGGCCGTGAAGGGGCCGTGAAGGGGCCGTGAAGGGGCCGCGAAGGTGCCGCTAAGGGGCCGCGAAGGTGCCGCTAAGGGGCCGCGAGGGTGCCGCGAAGGGGCCGTGAAGGGGCCGCGAAGGGGCCGCGAAGGGGCCGCTAAGGGGCCGAGAAGGGGCTGCGAAGGGGCCGCGAAGGGAGGCCGCTAAGGGGCCTCGAAGGGGCCGCAAAGGGGGGGGCCGCGACGGGCCTCAGGAGCAGGGCAGGCCACTAAGGGGCCGCGAAAGGGTAGGGCAGGTCAGAGCGCGAGGCGCGCTTCGGGCAGGTTAGGAAAAAAAAATTAATGGTGGGCCCTTAGGAAGAAACGGTCCCACTAGGGAACCTGCTCTATACCATGTGAGAATAACGAGGAAGTGGTTGACTAAGGGAAAGGTTGGGTACAAGTACAAACCTAGAAATGTGTTGTACCCCATATGTGCTACCCCACTATAGCCTACACAGGCTAAGTCATACAAGTCTGACACATCAACCATTTGATTAGAGTCAGCATTCTCGCCCCCGAAAGTATGTATCTTATGTTATTCGTGAAAATGTTATTTCGTTTCCCCCCTTTGAATTGTCTTCCCTCTTAGAGTACAGTTCGTTTCACACCTTTTGTAGTTTGAGGTATCCCGCAGGCCTTACCGTCCCGTTCCCCACCTCGTGCATTTGTTATTTCCCCTTACCACATCACCTTGGCTCCCCCTCTTGCATCCTCCGCCCACACTTAGCACACCATCCTGTTCCCCCCTCTTGAACTCTTTTTTCCCCCTCTGCACACCTTTCCATTCCCCCCACTGCAGGACCTCCTTCCACCCACTGCCTAACCTCCTTTCCCCTCACTCCTTGTCTTCAATCCCCCCACTGCAGGACTTCCTTCCACCCACTGTCAACCTCCTTTCCCCTCACTCCTTGTCTTCATTCCCCCCACTGCAGGACCTCCTTCCACCCACTGCCTAACCTCCTTTTCCCCACACCTTGTCTTCATTCCCCCCACTGCAGGACCTCCTTCCACCCACTGCCTAACCTCCTTTCCCCTCACTCCTTATCTTCATTCCCCCCACTGCAGGACCTCCTTCCACCCACTGCCTAACCTCCTTTCCCCTCACTCCTTGTCTTCATTCCCTCCACTGCAGGACCTCCTTCCACCCACTGCCTAACCTCCTTTCCCCTCGCTCCTTGTCTTCATTCCCCCCACTGCAGGACCTCCTTCCACCCACTGCAGGACTTCCTTCCCCCCACTGCAGGACTCCGGGGGGCTTCAGCTGCTCAACATCTTGGGGTAGGTGCGGTCGGTTGCAATGCGGTGCAACAAGATGCAGTGGGGTGCATAGAGGTGCAACAATGCATGCTATGGCATATCGATCACCCTACTGTTTCCCTCTCCAAATCATGCTCTTGGCCCCTTCTTACCCCTCCATGAACCTACAAACTCATCGAATGCTCTCCATACCTCTATCCACCCCTCCATACCCTTTGCAGGGCCCCCTGATGTCATTAGCACAGCATATCGTTGGCATGGCTGAATTGCCGGCACCATGCTCATAAGGTTATTTACAGCAACAATGGTCGCAGACAAGATTGGACTTGCTGTTTTTGTTTTATGTGTTATTCAGGAAGCCCTCATTAGCAACTAACATGCACATGGGTCTACACATTAGAGATATTCGTACAGTGGACGTCACTAAGTGCTACCCTCACTACCAAGCACCCTACTGGCACTATTGAGATCAAAGTCAATGCGAGTGGGCAAACCATGGATTGCGTTGAACCACGCCACATCATCCGCACCACATCCAACATACAACCCGCCCTAAGGCTCGGGGTACATTGTTGCAATAACCACAAAAATCAACCACGGCAGCTCAACTTCGTCACTCGTGTCATCTCCCAACAAGTCCGAATAACCGACATAACAGCGGAAGCAATGGTTTTTACGATACAACTCCTCCTCATTCGCACCAACACTCAGGTTTGCACCGCAACAGACACGAATGATGTTCTCGACCGTACGTTCGGTGGCGAAGCGACCCACTGTGGACTCCCGTGGGAACCCCAACCACGCTGAGCCCCACTTGCCCAACACCTCACACTGTTTTGGAAATCACCTTGCAAATTCAGCGATTGTCCAGCAGTACAATGGCATCCTAATCATTGGTGGTAGGCCTGATCGAAATCGGACCCGCCTAGTGATCCTAGGTGTAGAGAAGTTGGAGATACTGCTTGTCTGAGACTCCACGCTTGAAGTCACTGGACGCGGATCGGCACGACTCTGCGGAACCGTTTCTTCCTCGTCATCCTCACATACAAGCCTAATGGGATCTGGCCGACGACGCATGAGCGCACGAGAGCGTGGTCTGCCACGCAACGGAAATCAAGGGACATGTTTTGGCTGCAATATTACTCACAAGCATACATCTGTCAGGTAGTTGCCGCGATAATCCCTATAAGGGCGTGCAAAGCGTGATTTCAAACATGATATTTACCTTATTCGTCCGCCAGATCGGGTCTTCCTCGATGAGCGGCTGGAATTCTCTTGACCGTTCATCATTTTCCTCCTGGCGTTCCATTTAGGGAGAGAACGGGGGGAGGAAGAAGCAAGGAAGGGGAGCCCCGGGTTCCAAGAATATGGGAGAGAGGGGCGCAATGAAGACTGTTGATACAAGTGACTAGGTGCAAGATGGTGTAGTTCTCTTGGGAAAGAGGCTGGAGAGGGGAGTAAGGCAGAGAGGGGTAAGGGTGGAGAGGGGAGTATGGCAGAGAGGGGTGAGGTGGAGATGGGAGTAAGGCAGAGAGGGGTAAGGGTGGAGAGGGGAGTAAGGCAGAGAGGGGTAAGGGTGGAGAGGGGAGTATGGTAGAGAGGGGTGAGTTGGAGAGGGGAGTAAGGCAGAGAGGGGTAAGGGTGGAGAGGGGAGTATGGCAGAGAGGGGTGAGGGTGGAGAGGGGAGTAAGGCAGAGAGGGGTGAGGTGGAGAGGGGAGTAAGGCAGAGAGGGGTAAGGGTGGAGAGGGGAGTAAGGTAGAGTGGGGTAAGGGTGGAGAGGGGAGTAAGGTAGAGAGGGGTAAGGGTGGAGAGGGGAGTAAGGCAAAGAGGGGGAGGTGTTAGGGTCAGCGGGGAGAGATGGAAGGGAGAGCGGAGGACGAGATTGGAGAGGTGAAGGAAGAGAGTGAGGCGGAGATGGAAGTACACAGAAATGAATGGGCGACATTCGAAAGGGGTCCCCGTTTTGAGAACATGAGGGGGTGGGGGGGGCCCTTTTTGGTCACTGGATTAGCAGAATAGGGTTCAAAAGGGGATCGGGTGAGGGCGCAGGAGATATGATATGGAAGTTGCACTGAGCGGGGGTCGGAGTTGCGCGCGAAATGGAAAGAGAGAGGAGCACCAGAGTACCCGCCCTCACCCCCTTCCTCCTCCCCTCCCCCCCCCCCCCCCCCTCTACCCTCAGCGATAGTGTTGCCATGCGCCGTCCCGCTGCTTATTCCCCTCCCTTCCCCAACTCCCCCCAGCCACCCGCCACCTCCCTGCTGAGCCAGTGGCGACTCACTCTTATCTAGCGTGGTTGAGAGAGGGTTGCTTGCCTGTGTACAGGGAGGGAGGTGAGGGGAGGGAGGGAAGATAAGCGTGACGTGAGGGGCAGGGCGGGGACAAGAGGATAGTTTGGGGGGCGATAAAGGGACACAGGGTGGAGGAAGCGTTTCGAATAGGGAGAGGCGCAAACATGGGAGAGGCTAAAACGGGAATGAGGGGAAGGAGGGAGCTATGGGGGGGATATGGCAGAGATGAGGGAAAAGATAGAGGGTAATGATGGGGAGGAGAGATATGAATATTGGGGAAATGTGCGCTGGGAGGCGAAAATGAGTGAATGAGGCGAAATGAGTGATGGGAGGCGGAAACGAGTGAAGGGGCGGTAGAGTATGAATGGAGGCGGCAATGCGTGAAGGGTGGCGGAAATGAGCAAAGGGAGGCGGCAATGAGTGATGGGAGGCGGAAACGATGGAAGGGAGGCAGAAACGATGAAAGGGAGGCAGATACGAGTGATGGGTGGCGGAAATGAGTGAAGGGAGGGGGTAACGAGTGTAGGGAGGAGCTAATGAGAGATGGGATGCGCAAACGAGTGAAGGGAGGCGGGAATGAGTGAAGGGAGACATAAATGAGTGAAGGGAGGCGGAGTTGAGTGATGGGAGGCTTGAATGAGTGAGGGGAGGCGGAAACGAGTGAAGGTGGCGGAAATGAGTGATGGGTGGAGGAAATGAGATAAGGGGGGCGGATACGCGTGTGGGGATGCGCAAACGAGCAAGGGAGGCGGAAATGGTGAAGGGTGACATACATGAGTGAAGGGAGGCGGAATCGAGTGATGGGAGGCGGAAATGACTGAAGGGAGGCGGAAATGAGTGATGGGACGCGGAAATGCGTGAAGGAAGGCGGAAACGAGTGAAGGGAGGCGGAAATGAGTGATGGGAGGCAGCCCCGAGTGAAATGAGGCGGAAACGAGTGTAGGGAGGCGCTAATGAGTGACTGGATGTGCAAACGAGTGAACGGAGGTGGATGATGGGATAGAGACATAAATGAGTTATGGGAGGCTCGAATGAGTGGGGTCGCGGAAACGAGTGATGGGAGGCGGAAATGAGTGAAGGGAGGCGGAAATGAGTGATGGGCGGTGGAAATGCGTGAAGGAAGGCGGAAACGAGTGAAGGGAGGCGGAAATTAGTGATGGGAGGCGGAAACGAGGGAAGTGAGGCGGAAACGAGTGTAGGGAGGCGCTAATGAGTGACGGGATGTGCAAACGAGTGAACGGAGGCGGAAATTAAGGGAGGGAGACATAAATGAGTGAAGGGGGGCGAAATAGAGTGATGGGAGGCTCGAATGAGTGAGGGGAGGCGGAAACGAGTGTACGGAGCCAGAAACTCATGAAGGGACTCGGAAACGAGTGATGGGAGGCGCAAACGAGTGATGGGAGGCGCAAACGAGTGATGGGAGGCGGAAACGAGTGATGGGAGGCGGAAACGAGTGATGGGAGGCGGAAACGAGTGATGGGAGGCGGAAACAAGTGATGGGAGGCGGAAACGAGTGATGGGAGGCGGACACGAGTGAAGGGTGGCGGAAAGGTGCGATGGGAGGCGGAAACGAGTCATTGGAGGCGGAAACGAGTGATGGGGGGAGGATACAATGAAGGGAGGGGGAAATGAGCGATGGGAGGCGGAAAGGATTGACGGGATGCGGAAACGAGTGCTTGGAGGCGGAAGTGAGTTATGGGTGGCGGCGGTAATGTGTGCTGAGAGAGGCATGGGAAAACGGATGAGGTATTTCTACCCCTGGCGCTATTGCGAGGTGGGTTACAGACAGGTAGATACGCGTCCACAAACGGACGCTCCGCGGCGTGCTTCTGCTGATGTTCAAGCGGATGACAGATCAGGTATCCGGTTGGACAAGGGCGAGCAACCTATACGTCGTGCATCGTCGATACGGACGGAGAGATGTGACATAAAATGACATTGTGCGCATTTAAATACGGGCGGCAAAAAAATATGGAAAACGGACCTCCTGCAGCGTGGGATACGGCGGATATGGGCTTGAAACACAGATGTCTTGCCGCGTGAGATACGGGCGGAATACGGGCGTCGTGACATCTGGAAACCCAGCGGCGTGGCATATGCGGGGCGTGTGGCGATGCTGAGGGTGTGTTATAAGGTGTAGGAACACGTCGCGGCGATGCGGTGGAAAGTGAGATAGGAGAGTGAGTGGCCGCGAGCTTGGAAAATAGCAGCGAGGTGCAGGCCACATCTACTTGCGCAAGTTCTCCCCCAACTGGGGAGGTCCGTGTGGGTCCCAACTCCCACAATACAATACATGGTAACCAGGCGTTCAAAAAAAAAACTTATGAACCAACTATGTGTAAGGAAAATTCCTAATCCTTACTTCGTGTTCCCGCTCATCGCGTACACCACTGTAGCACCACAGTCAGCACCGTTACCACTCGCAACCATCGCATCGACAATCCTCCCGCCACCTTCGCACGTCGCACCCCGACCTCACGGCTCGGCGGGTAACCCGCGCTCCGGGCCTCCGCTTCGACAATTCCCCAAACCTCAGTCCCAGGCCCGTCGCGCGACAACTATAGTTCATTACCGTTACCACTGTAGTTTTGCCATATATTCTTCGCTCATGCCTTCGCTCATGGGACTCTTGCTTCGATAGTGCAATTCTCGCTCGCTCACTCAATTGCACTCGTAACACTTGGTATTAAGAGCTTACGATCTCTTCTCGGACCGCACCCACACCTTCGCTTCCTCACTATCTCAATTTTTGGGGGGGGTAGACGTCTCTCAGCGACACAGCACCGCCGCTCGTAGTGCTCTCTCATAAGCACGCACGGCCACGACAGAGGCTCTCGCTGAGCTTGCCCGACACCCCCGCCATGGCCGAATTCACGCTCGCGACGTTGACGCAGGAGCAGCTTGACCGTCTGGTGCCCAAAGTTGAAGAATCGGCGCTCGAAATCGCGACGCTCACGGCGGAACGTGACCCCGCGCGTCAGCAATCCACGGTGAACACTCCAGCGCCACCACACGCACCGACAAATGCATCTGCACAATCGGACGAGCCGATCGTCATTTCGTCCGGCACACCAACACAACACGACAGCGTGGGACAGCGCTCAGGCGTAGTCAGTGATGGCGCAGCCCAGCCGATGCCTGGCATGGGAGGAAACAGGGTCGCACCAAGCCCGCGGGAGCCTCGTAAAGCCCGTCGGCACGTGGAGTTCACGGCGACAAGCGGCGAACAGGCCATTATGGCACCAATGCCACTCAAGCCGCAACGCCCGCCCTGTTTCGACCCGAGCCAGCGTGGAGGTCCGACGGTTCAATCGTGGGTCTTCACGATGAACGTCTTCTTCGACGCGAATTACGTCAAGTCGGACGCAGCGAAGATCCGATATGCCGTCTCGCTACTGAGGGGCCCCGCCATGGACTGGTGGCGAGTCATTGTGACGTCGCCACGCGCCTACGAGCCACCGTCGCAAGAGGAAGGGCCCACGGGTCCAGCTGTCACCTGGAGTTCATTCTGCGAGACCGCCCAGTACAGCACGTGAGATGTGTAGTGCGCAGGGCTTCGAGCGCCCTTTGAGCCAATCGCGGCTTCTATTTCGGCGCGTCAGAGACTGCGTACTTGGCGGCAGCTCGGGTTGGTTCAAGACTACACGAGTGGTTTTCTCGCATTATGCGAGCAAGTCGGCTACATGCACGAAGCGGAGCGGGTGGAACGTTACGTCGGAGGGCTTAAGCCGGACATCTTGCACGAGATCATGCTACGCGGGCTCTCGAACTTCAACGAGATTCTCGCGCTCGCCGAGAAAATCAACATTTTACGCCGTCCGAGACCGGGGTCCTACTACGGACATCGTCCTCGGGGACCGATCGAGCATGCCACCGTACATGCCGTTGCGACGAATGCAGCTGCCGCACCGTTTAAGGGGCGCTGCTTTGCTTGCAATAGGCCGGGCCATCGCAAGAGTGAATGCCCAGAGGAGCTGAGGCGCCGCGGAGCAGAGCAGGGGAGGGAGTCTCCAAGGCAGGGAAACGCCAGCAGTCAGTAGGAATTGGGCCAACTACTGACGAGACTGCCTGCTCGCCCAACCCCACCGACCCTCACCGAGTCACAGTACCGATTCATGCTATCGATCGGGCTCGGACGAATAAGGAGGGTACAGCGACGGATTGCCCAGTACTGATCCACGGAAAAATACAGGGAGCAGCAGTGAAGATTTTTATCGACGGAGGAGCAAGTCACAGTTTAGTTAATACCGCAACCGCGCGCATATTGCAACTGACACTTAGCCGTTGTTTACCTGAGATAGACGCGCGCTTATGATAAGAAACAAGGAATGAATGAACTATGAATGAATTGGGTACAAGTACTAACCCTAATTGGGTTGTACCCCTTATGGGTTACCCCACTATAGCCTACACAATATGCATGAGCTATAATATTCTGACACACCCCCATAGGCAAAGTGGGGGAGAACAAGGGGTCACAAGACCAGTCAAGCAAAGTAAAGCAAAGCAAGCTCAGGGTGGATCACAAAGTCACCACACATTCCGAGCACAAGTTCAAGGCCACAAGGCCAGTTCACATGCAGGAGTACATATATATATAAAGGCTAGACAAGCAAGAGCAGATATATATATATATGTAACAGCACAAGCAAGGTCAAGAGGTGAGCAAGTGAGGCAAGGTAGGCACAAGGCCCAGCTGAGTACAGAAGCGCTGATGGTCACAAGGCGCAAGCGCCTTGGTGAAGATATCAGCAGTGTTGGCCTCAGAGGCCACGTACGCAAGACGCAGCTGACCACGCTGCTGCAGCTCACGAGCAAGAAAGTAGCGGAGAGCAATGTGCTTCGTTCTGTGCTCCAGTCGCTGCTCCCGACACAAGGCCAGCATGGCCTTGTTGTCTACGTACAGCACTGGAGGAGAACGAGGCAGCTCTCCGAGGTCAGTCAGCAGGTAGGTGAGCCAGCGAAGCTCCTGTGCAGCCATGGCTCCTGCGTAGATCTCAGCCTCACAACTGGAGCCGAGAACAGAAGACGAGCGGGTAGCCCGCCACGAAACAGAGCCGGAACCAAGGCTGAAGGTGTAACCCTGTGACGACCGCTGCGTAGCCTGGTCGTCAGCCCAAGAAGCGTCTGCGTGCCCAGTAAGGACCACTGGACTCTGCCCTCCAAGCACAAGCCCCATGCCCGACGTACTGCACAAGTAGCGCAACACCCTCTTCGCTGCAGCCATGTGCTCCGGTCTGTGTCTCCCAGGAGCAACATAGCGTGCAAGAATGCTAAAAAGAGGGTATGCAAGGTCAGGTCGTGTGCAGGTCATCAGGTACATGAGGCAGCCAACAAGCTCTGGGTACGGGCCACTCGACTCTACGGACTCATCCGAAGGCAGAGCTGAGAGCGAGTGGCGAGTAGGCAGAGGAGTGGCCTGAGGCGAGGAGTACGTGAAGCCGAAGCGCTGAAGGACCTGCTGCACCATGTGTGACTGAGTCAGGGTAATGGTGCGGCGTGCTCTGTCCCGAGTGATCTGCAAGCCAAGGTAGCTGCGCAGTTCACCCAGGTCAGTGCACGTGTGTCTCTTCTGCAGCTCGGACTTCACGTGGGCTAGTCCAGCAGTGTCAGCTGTGGCAAAGACCAAGTCGTCGACGTACACGAGGATGTAGAACGGCGGCGAAGAAGTGTCGGTGCGCAGAAACAGCGACGGGTCGGCAGTAGAGGGAGCAAACCCAAGAGCCGCAAGTGTAGTCCTCAGTGTGTCGTGCCACTCACGCGGTGCCTGGCGGAGACCGTAGACTGGCCGCCGTAGGCTCCACTGGGTGCCAGGAGGAAAAGACCCAGTGAAGCCAGGTGGGCGACGCAGCCAGATCTCCTCGTGCAGGCTGCCCTGCAAGAAAGCAGTGCTGAAGTCAAGAGAGTGTAGCTCGTAGTCACGGTGAGCAGCTACGTGCAGCAGTACCCGAAGAGTGGTCATCTTCGGGGTGGGAGAGAAGGTCTGAAAGTAGTCAACTCCCTGCCGCTGACTGAAGCCACGAGCCACGTAACGCGCCTTGAAGACAGGCGGAGAACCCGGCGGTCGCTTCACCCTGAAAATCCACATGCCACTGACGATGTTCGCCCCAGGAGGGGGAACAGCGTCAACGTAGGTGCCTGTGGACTTCCAGGAAGCCATCTCTGCGTCCATAGCTGCCTGCCACTGAGAGGAGTAGGGACCCTCTATCGCCTCCGCGTAAGAGCGCGGAGTCGGGATGTCAAGTGCATCCGGGTCTCCCTCAGGGGTAAGCAGTACGGACACGAGATGAGGTGAAGCAGCGGCCAAGCACTGGAACTCCTCCTGCCTGTCCTCAAGGACGTCCGTGCCAAGGGCACACTCACCCCCGACGGACGGAGGACAGACAGACTCAGACTCAGCAACAAGACTGGCGACGTAGTCTAGGCGACAGCGAGCAGCAAAGTCGACGAGCTCAGCAACTAGAGCAGACGCAGCAGTGGACTCAAAGGAAGGGTCAGTGACAACCGTAGCAAGGAGACGCGTGACAGTAGGACTGGCAGCGCGAAGAGAGTCCGACTCCGGGTCGGCAAGAGTAGGAAGAGAAGACTCAGGAGGAGAAGGCAAAGGGGCACGCAGAGGAGCAGTGGACGGACGCAGAGACATCCGGTGCGTGCCAGGGACAGGAGGAGGACGCTGACGCGAACCGCGACCACTAGTGCGAGCAGCACGGACAGGCGACGCAGGGCGAGACGCAGGCTCACGACGCTCAGCAAGACCTCCAGTAGGACCAGTGTAGGGAGACGGAGCAGGCAGTGGGGAGGCCGGCTGTAACTGTAACTGCGACGGGACAGGCTGTGGACACTCTAAGGGAGGAGGAGGACCAGTAGAAGGCGGGAGACCAAGAACCTGCTGAAGGAGCGGAACGAAGTACGGCCGAGGCCGCGCGGCGACTCCAGACACAGGAGGGACAGCACCAGCACCCCCAGTGGCAGCACCAGCACCAGTAGCAGCTCCAGCTCCAGAACCCCCAGCAGCACCAGTAGTACCCCCAGCAGGACCGCCTCCAGGACCGACAGCAGTAGCCTCCGCGCCAACACCCGCAGCAACTCCAGCTCCAGAAGTACCCGCAGGTCCAGCAGCTCCAGTACTCCCAGTACGAGCACCTCCGGGACCCGTGGCACCAGCTCTCTCAGCAGCAACAGAACCTCCAGTACCCGCAGCACCTCCAGCTCCAGCAGCTCGCCTCC